CTACTCAAAATGATGCGGTATTCTCGCGGTTGCTACTCCCGGTCCTCCGCGTTAAGCAGAAATTGGGATCCCCTCAAGTTCAAAATATGGTATCCAGCTTGCGATGAATCTTCGCTTTTAGACCTAGCTTTTCGGCCGGGTTAACGATGCGGAAGTTACTCAGGTGGATCCCGCCACTGATTATCACAACTCGATCATTCTCGGTGGCCCCAAGAAGAGCGGAGAATGACGATAATGAAACCGACCTTCCCAAGTCATTGATATGTTCAAGTTTCCCGCGGAGCTCCGCTGAGGCTTTACGGTCTTCTTTGGCAGCAATATATCTATTCTAATCCGGCGCCGAGGATTCTATGGCCTCCATTGAGGCGGGATCTCTGCACAATGCGAGTCACATTCCATGTCGAGAATTCAATGAATCCCAGGATTGTCACAACCGTAACCACTGATTGCAACGTTCTTCCGTACTGTACTATTTCGACCGAGTGTTCATGTAACGTGTAACACAGCCCTCTGAAGTGAACACTTTAGCTACCTGTAACAGTAACACCAGGCAAATGAACACTGAATTTTTTGAAGCCCCAAACGGGCCCAAAAGACCTCTAGTACATGCAAATTTTTCAAAAAATGCTACTGAAAATGCTTACTAGTGCTCCTCCCAAAAGGGCCCTGGTAACACGAGGTCCTGATTTTCTTCCACTGGCCACGACCAAGAGGTGCGGGCGGTGGAGCTTCGCCTTTGGCATCATCGGATTTCTCGGCATCCCCTGCGCAAACCAGGCCGCCATCGTCGCCTACAGCAAAATTGGTACAAATAACACTGAGTGGAAAAAACGGCCATTGCAGGTAGAACCCTGCAGAACCTCGCCTCGCCGGTGGAAACATTGATTGGCAGGCGACTCTACCCGAGATTCTACAGGTAATCTACACCCCAGCAGATTGAACCTTCTGGGAATAAGCGACTAGAGAACGAGCGATATCTTTTTAAAAATAGCTATACTGCTTCGGGGTCAAAGCGAATTTTTTTGGTCATCCCCATCACCTTCTTGCACTCCTTGGAGATTGTTTTTCGGCGATTGAAAGAAATGAACAGTTTAGCCAACCGTAACAGCCCGAGACGCGATCTGAACACTTGGGAAAGTGAACACTTGAGGTAACATGTAACATGGGCCGAACACTCGGTCGAAATAGTACAGTAGTGTCAACGATCACTCCCACTTCATCGTCACAAGATCAACTCGTACTGACCTCCATAAATAATCGAATGCATCTCTCAGTCCTCGCCCAACCGCACTCGTCTTCGGGGCCCCTTACTATGTCTCCACCCTGGACAAACTTAGCTGGCCTCGCCGTCGGCGGTCCTCTTTATGGGATCTACCTCATGCTGTACATTTTATCGACCTTCCTTCTTGTCAAACGTTCGACTGGCGCGCCCTCGGCTCCACTGTATCGTTCCGCCATTTTTGTTTCTGGACTGGTCCTCTTTATAGCTGTTACGGGGGTGCGTAGGACATTGTTTGGGATGCTCGGTTCCACTGATACGGTTCAATAGAATTGGATCCTTACTGTGGTCCGGCCATTCATAGGCTTCGTTGTTTTTTCTCGATGGAACAGCGGCTCCGGCATTTTTCGATGACAACAGTCAGATCACAACCACGATCCAAAATGGTTTCGTCGTTGTAGCCATTCTGGTTAGCGATGGTATAATTGTGGGTTCTCTAGCACTACTGTGGCTTGGGAAGTCTGAAGAGGAGAAAGATATATCGTCTCTGGATCGTTTGGTCTCGTAGCAAGATTGTGATCATATTGCCGATACTGACCCTGTTGGGCCTTGCAAGTGAGTGCTTCAGAAATCCGATGAATCAGATTTTTCAACTACCATTCCGAGTCGCTTTTATACTAACTTTGCAAAATGACCATACACATCGATGACATTGCCGAGGATAAGGGCCTTACACCTGGACTGATCTTCACGCTCACGTATGTGCTCTGTTCTGCTTTCAAGATGCGCGGACTTATTATCATTTACCAGTACAAACATCTACTCCACCGGTAAGCGAATTCCCGGGTTTTAGTGTGTCAACATAGTTTCAAATTCTAACTGCTACAGGATTCATTTCTTGGAAATCCGGCAGATCACCAAGACCTCGTCCCCAGTCGGTGGATCTAATCTTCGGGTGAATGGCTTTGAGCATTATTTATGAACGCTCGCTGATAATTCTCCATCCGTAGGATTTCCTTTCTATCATCATCGAGAGCGCCCTAATATACACGTTCGTTTCGTCCTGCTGTCTTAACGTGGCTCTTATTTACCCCCTCTACTCAGCATATGGACAATCTTCTACATCATAGTTCACCAGATCAACTCCAATCTGCAGTTCGTGGCCGTTATCCTGCTACCCGCGGTCGCCGGCATCTCCAACGCGCTCATTCAAGCGCGTATTGGAATGGGCAAGACGATCGAGACACAGCACCCGTTGACTGGACATGCACAGTCATTCTCGTATTCAAATTCCAATTCAGCGGGTGCCGCCTTGCGAATGACCGCGCACCATGGGGACGACCCCCTCGCGAGCCGGAGCGACCTCACAGAGATGAAGCCGATGGCGATATAGCTTGGGTGATTCAATGTTCAGGATATATATCAAGGAGGTACGAGTAAGACGATATATAGCAACTGTCAGAGACTAGGGATTTTCTTCCTCGGTATTTATTCGAATTCGAAAGTGTACTGTAGTTTACGTGGCCTAGCGCCTTCCTCTGTCTGTCCGTTGAATCTAGCATCACTGTCATGCCTTAAAGAACATTTTTTTCGGCCCATGGATTGGGGGGCAGCGTAATAATGGATTATGAGTGAATTGAGGGCGGCCGTGCGGGAAATCGCTGGGGGCCGAATGTTAGGGTGCGCAGGATGGGCATATCTCCGTGGATGAGATGCATGTGCTCGAAGGGCAGGCGCACATCGAGATGTTCCCAGCGCTGGCAATGGGCTATGACAGCACGGAAACTGGGGGACGAGCCTGTGTGTGATATTCCGCGCGTGTGTCAGGCTGAGAGAGAGACGACAGTCCTTGGAACACTTCGGCCATGTCTTGAGAAGTTCAAGCTGCGCAGCGAGTTGCTTGTCGGAGGCCCTCGCTTGAGTTCCATTTTTGAATCGCTCTCCACAGCTTGAGGCGTTCACAGCGCAAACCGTCCGCCATTGTCGACAGATCTGACATAAGAGAAGCGGGGAGAAGATACCGTGAAATGGAGAGTAATCAGGATAGCTGGGCCGAAAAACTGATGAAGATTTCCGCCAGAATTTCGGGAGGCAGTGAGAACCGGATACGTTATGTGAGCCAATGAGTCACCCAAGTCGGACAGTGTTCCAGAAGTCCAAGTGGGGTGGGCTCGAGGTGTGTCCTCATCTGGCGGTGGCTCAGCGAGGCAGATCATAATGGAGTTTTTGACGCACAGAACGTGAACAAAGACCACCGTATTCAGTGCTCCGGAAGCGTGGAGTGTTTCCGCACAAGCACAATATTGGTGCGGTCAGCGCCAGAACGACGGTCCCATCGCCAGTCGCGACGAGCCCGGACCCCGACGACCCCGACGAGGCAACCCTCAAAGACCTCCAGAATGTAGATGGAGACCCGGGAACCGCTATCAAAGCGTTGACTTGGCCGCTATCGACTGCCCATGGCAAACCAGATTCAAGCTTGTCGTGGTTTGAGAAGAGGAGATGAGTGCTGCAGTGGCGATCACCGGTCCGAACGCGGAAAGGGCCGCAGCTCTTGAAGTAGACGCTTACAACAGTCTCGCAGCGCAAGACCATGTTAACCGATGTTCGAACTACGTAAGCGCAGCATATGTTTTAACTATAAACGAGGAAATATCCAAACTCACTGAAAGCCTTCGAGCCCACTACAGCATCCCAACCATAACAGACCTCCCCAGTACCATGTCTTCATCTGCTCTCTCCTTCGTTCCTCCTTCACGGCGCCATCCCGCGCCTCCACCCCTTCTTCGCCCAAAGACTACGCAGTCGCATTTGCGACTCTCCAACCGGCCTACGGTCTCAGGGCCAGGCACCGAGGGTCAGAATCTCTTCGAAGAAGAGCCCCGCAAAGACCGCTAAATCGTCCGCGTCTGCGGCGCATTCGACCCACTCCTCCCGCAGCGGGAAGAGCTACGAATCCGCATTTGGCACTTTGTCTTCGCAGTTCGGATTTGGCAGCGCTATCGCTCCGAAGAGCTCCAGCGTCTAGGTCAATAGTTCCTCGCGCCTGCAGCTTGAACATTCTGGAACGGAAGCTGATCTTAAATGATAGTACGACATACCCATCGCAATGTTGTTTTCAAAGGACGAAATATTCTCCCTCGTCCGCCGTTGGCGATTGCGCCCGGCCTTTGCAAACTACCGCGCTGCATTTCGGAACCGAGGGGAACAGAGAATCGCGGATGAAACCTCTACATTCGCGTCCGCCACCTTGCAATCCTGATTTGATTCGATCATCCTTTGCTGTACGACTGGTTGTGAGTCGCATGAACCGAACATTCTGCGGGCCTGACATCGCACGCCGATTTTATTTTGAAGACTGACAATAAGCAAGTCACAGAAAAACTCCACAACACACTTGCTATACCTCGATTGCTGCCGAGGAGACCGGAAGAACAAATCAGAGCTCGTTTGGAAGGGAGACCAGCCGACCACAAGATCAACTTTAGTTATGCACAACTTGAGGGCCATGGGCATAAATGATGATTCCGGGTCTCCCGGGGTGCTGCAGCCGTCTTTTGATAAATTTCACTGCCGTATCTTATGTCGTTGGGATACTTTGAATAAATTTGGTGAAGCGCAAACGCGCCGAGAAGGAACACCCCAGGCTACCGTTCCTCAATGGCAACAAATTACAGGATGAAGAGGAAGCCAAGGGAAGAGAGCCTAAAATTACTTGTTGATGGTAAACCGCAAACGCCCACTAGGTCGTTTATAGTACAAGGGCTGACCTTCCTAACATGGCCGCCTGGCGAAATGGCATCGCGTCTGACTACGATTGAACATTTGGGATGACCATGAGGTCACGTGATCTAAATCAGGAGATTGCAGGTTCGACCCCTGCGGTGGTCATTGTTTTCATCCATTTTCATGCTCATTCTTTTTACCTTTTTACCCGTTTGGTTCTTCCGCAAGCTACTACTATTTTTATCAGGATCCTGGCCACCTAAGCATTCGTGCTTGATTCATACTCCCTGCGGTGCACCTGCCCAAGCCCTATTATCTCAGATTGAAGGCAGGCATCCTACGAAGAGTTCAAGTCCACTTCGACCAAATTATCTGAAGATTTGATGTTGCAGTGAATATCTTTCGGTGACAAGTTCAACATGACCAAATACCGACTAGATGGCCACCCCGCAAAATAATCGGCGGAAGCACAGAGTGGGGACCACATGTATCAGAAATCATATAGAGAGCACAGAGGTACAATTCTAGGTTACGAAATCCTACATACAAGCGATTTCTGACGTCAAATATCTACTTCTGACGAAAGGTGGACCCCAAAAAATTGTGGTCCATAACAGACTGAGCCTGTAACACGGGGAAAAGTCTGTATTGTCCATGCGAGGCGGAGAGTTTAATTGGAAGTGTTAGAACGTACTTGAACACCAAACTCCACCTCAAGGTTGTGACAGCTCCTCCAAAAATTCTGACTGTCAGCAACATCGAGAATGGGTGATTTGCGCTAAACAGCGGTGGCACTAAGGGGTTTGAATAGAGAAAATCTTGGAATACATCTAGGAGAGTTCTATCAAGGAGGAAGAAGTTGCATGCCAATTTCTGGACTGGTAGCACAATGGTGTCATCCAATATGAGGGTGGCCAGCAAGTGCGACTCAAAAATGTGACGCCGTCCGCTTGAGTGCGCCAAGAGGAGAAAATCGACATGTCGGTGTCAAATGACATGGTAGATCACTGCCAGCAGCTAAAGAAGCAAGACGTGCCAAGGGACTTGAAAAACGACGAAGAACCGGTGGAGAAACGCTCAAGACAAGTCAGCGAGGCGGTGTAAACGTAAGGAATTGATGTTCCCACCCCTCGGTCCGAAGTCGGACATGTCATAACTTACGATCAATCCATCATTTTGGCTTCAAATTTGGTCCACACTCGCGTTACAGGTTGTATTCCATCCTCCATCTATGGCCTGTAGCAATTGTTAAACCTGAACTCTCTAGGTCCGAAGCGGCCAGCTAGGTAGTGTGTAGGTGATAAAAGATAGTACGCCGCGCCCCGCTTTTTTTATTTATTTTAAGTCCCACGCTGAGGAATGTTCAGATTACCACAGCCCATCTCATCTGACTCATAGCGTAACTTCAACTTGCTGAAGTCATATCTCCCACCCCTAAAGCAGACAGACGTCTTCACCTAATGTGGAGCGAGTGACCTAACAAGAATATCCCTTTCATAATGAACCAGCACTAACACCGACTAAACTATGTACATATGGGTATTGTAACGAGGCGTGTTGCCATTTTTGGTATGAAGGTCATAAGTAGGAAGAGTGTCCCTTCGTTCAATCCTTACGAAAAACGTTCTCGGATATCCGCCAGCCCCCACACCGGGAACGTCTCAGGGTCCAAAATCCAGCCTTCGAGCACCCGAGATGCACGGCGGTCCGCAGGACGAAACTCTCGCGCCTTCCACGTCCACTCGCGGAACTGCTCCACGTCCCGCAAGGCCCCGTACCCCATCGCAATCGCGTCGAGATGTTTTCCCGTAGTCGAGCATCTCCAGCCCTTCCGACTCTATCAACGACACCGCACGCAGATGTACGTCGATCAAGGCGTAGTCTTCCATGGTTGGATCAAGGCACCAGTCCTCGAAACGACGGAAGCGATGTCCAGACAGTGTTTAACTCCGAGCGGGCGGCGTCGCTGTTGTATGTCACCGCGGCAGGACGCGCACAAATTTCGCATCGGCAGGAGAAGTTGTACATCTCCTTGAGCTGTGACCGCCGCTCGGCGCGACTGCACGTTGGCGAGATGTACGCGACGGTTACTTCACGCCCGGCTTCGATTGGGCGAAGCGCGACAAGCGACAGCGAGAAGGAAACAGGGTCCCATTGCCATTTCGCATTTGGGCCGCAGCTACGTGTAGTGTATGTCAGTTTCGAAGCTCGATTCGGAACACGTGCAGACGACGTACCTATGGTTGCAACGACTGATATTCGGGAAAATCCCGCGGTGCGTAGGGAGCTCGGGGTGGGGACTGCTGGGAACGTTGAGGGTGATCGCAATGGCGTTGGTGCGGATAATCCCCTCCACTGTGTCGCATTCTGAAGCTGGCTTGCAGTTCGCTAATTCCATAAAACGTTCCACCGTCTCGGCAGATAGCCGATGCAGTAGTGCGGTATAGAAGTCGGATTCTGGATGTGTCTGGAGCGCGATCATGTACGGCGCGACGAGAATGGGACGCTCGACAGCAATAAGACCTCCCACGGGATGTTTCGCGCTGCGAACATGCCCAGCCCGTGCTTGCCCTCGCCCTCGCGAACGACAAAGGTCAAGCCCTTCGGAGGTGGAACAGGAGGAGCAGGAATTAGATCGGGAAGAAGGTCTTTGACACCGACGTCGAGTAGGGCGGCAGTCTCGTCGGAGCCGCCGGCATAGGCGACATTGTGCAAGCAGTACGCACGGTTGCCGATATGGCCAGCAAGATCGAAGTATGGGGAGTCCAGGGTTCTGTTAGCTCGTATGTTTGCATTGATTTGAGAACAGAACGATAGCGGTGGCGGGCGGCAGTGGTCGCGGCGCAGATACGAGGTGGAGGCAGAGACTTGCTTGGGTTCCGCAGAGGAGGAGGCAGTGGCAGAAGGCATGGTAGTGTCTGAACGAGTGTGAGATGTGGTAGTGAGTGTTTTAAAGGAAACACAGTGTTCGCAGCAGGGGCCTTGCCACCCTCATCGAAGCGCTCAAAGAATGATTGTCCACGCATCGAGATTTCAACATGAGGCGACATCGCTTCGTCTGCCGATGCCGGGAATTAAAGAGGCATGATCTACGCCCTTCGTTTACGGACCGTGCTTCCTATGTTGCAGCACCAATAAAAGCACACCCAAAAACGCGTGGTGGCACCGTGTATGGGAAGAATCGCTGAATTCGGCAACCTCGCGGCGGGAGTAGGTAAGCGGAAGCAGATATTAGGATGTATATCAATAAAATTTTCCGCGCCCTAAATGATATACCCACGCGAAGACACCCCAAAGGACGCAGACCGCATTGAGGAGGACGAACCCATTCTAGCTAGTCTTGAGCTGTGTTCAGCCCCTCTCCCTCATTGCTTGATCGCCGGCGACCGTCGATGATAGCCGTAAAACTCAGATGGCCGCGGTGTTCGCGCAACACGGGCGAATATAGAACAGTATACCCGCGAGGCTCTCGACCATGGATCCAGATGCATTCCCGAGGAAACATCACAGTTTATTTTCAATCGCGGGTGATTGTGAGGACGCTCGAGACTAAAAGGAGATGAGTCGGTTCCAAATTCAATCACTTGTGTGTACGAACCGCTCCCGCTGGGGCCCCCAACCGCCCTTTCCAAGGCTCGCCAGATAGCTGCCTCCGCGTCTGAATGAGCCTCACGAATTTGAAACGGCTCATCCTGGTGGCGGAAAAAATAACACCCGCGGCTCGGATCGAAAGCGGTCCAACATCGATATGATACTCGGCGACGCGACCGGCTGGTCGACGCGGAGAGCACAGACGTGCACACGCACGCAGGCCAGAAGAATGGCCTCGACCGCTTCCGATATAAGTACGAGTTCTTCCTCCGCCAACGTCCGCGAGCCGAACGTGAAATCGAGAGAGAGGTGGGTCAGCGCCGGCAGCGAGAACGCCGGCCATGCGGTCCATTCCTCCCAGATATTCGCGACAGTGAGGTGGGTGATGTTACTGAAGAAAGGCGCTCCGAAGTACGGGTCCGGTGATCGCAAGACCCCGTGCCAAGCCGCGAGTTTTTTTGGGCGCAAAGTGAAGAGGAAATGCGATAGCGGGGGAGTAGGACCAGAGCGCGGCGCAGGTAGGAACCACGTCGTGAGGTTTTCAATACCGTCGCAGATTGAAGTTACCCTCACGAGCTGGTCCACGGGCATGTCGAATAGGACGGACATCGATTTGACGTGCGTCGAAAAGAAAGCGCGCGATTTCGTGGCCGATGTCTCGATCGTTCTGAGAAATTTATTGCTGGTGCGCTGTCGATACAGAGACACGGTTTCGTAGAGGACGATGCTAATCCTATAGACGCATTAGAAGGGTACGAAAACGGAAGCCTCCCTCTTGATTACCAGCTTTCGACCAGACGTGACACAAGGACAAGCTTCAGCGCAGTCCTCCGGTCCGCTCTTGCAGCGGTCTCAAAAATCATCCGTAGGATGTCGAGGACGAGAACTACATTCCGAGCGGGCATTCATGAAGAGGACACAAGTGTAGATGTCTCAGTCTGTGTTTTGTCAAAATCTGATTTTGATATCCGCGGAGATATCTGGAGACCAAATGTACGCCATACCGCCCAGTGATCCGCCAGACACCGAGATTGGGAGGTATATATGGATGCGCCAGTTGTGCGATATCGACGCAGGACAGGTAAGCTGATAAGGTTATAGTCGGGAATACCCGCAGAATGTGATCTTTTTTTGAGAGTGTTTGAGCGCGATGTGGATGCGGTCATATCGGCACGATCGGTAATTGAAATTGACCTACCGCGGCGCCGAATATCCCGAGATCGTGCCAGCCCGTGCCTGTGACTTACAGGAGGCCACAACTTGTCACCGTAATACCTGGCAGGTCCCTAAATTTTGAGCGCAATGAGACCTGTTCAGGTGGATTACGGGAATCCCGACATGAGAGAGCGAACGCAAAGTTACACCAGCGCCACGGCCTGATCTTCTCCCGAGGAAGTCGTGGTCCCAAGTGCCCGGAGTTTCAGGAATGTGCTGTTATAATTAGAGTGCCTAAAAGCCACCTCGCAAAGAAATAGTACATACACTGCATCCGCATCCCTGGAAGATATTTGGTGCAACTTGTCTGAGTGTAAAAGAAGTCACTTACGCGCATTTCGACCGCAAACCTCGTAGAC